TAACCCTAACATAAACGAACTTTAAAAATTTAATCGTTAGTAACATAATGAACTTTAAAAATCACGTGTCCGGAAAATTTTCCGTGTCCCTGAGCAGGGGAAATCCATTTACTACCTAATGTCACATGATGCTTAATTACAGGGGTTAACAGTACCTAATAATATAACTTTTATCAGTTAAAACTTTGAGAAAATTGAGATTTGTTAACACATTCATCAAAAATATGTACTAGAATACTGAAATTTTATAGATATTCGATTGGATTATGAATAATAATAAATTACAAGTTTCATTTTGGTTCTCGTTAATTAGAGCAAGTTTCTAACTTCTCCATTATTCTCGTTTTTTCTTTTCTTTTTTTTTTGAGTTATTCGATTTGGATAAGTAGCCATCGAGAAATCTTCAAGGTTTGCCTGATCGTCTTCGCTAAAGTTTTAAAAACGTTTGATAGTTTAATATGATTTTGCTAGCGCTAGATGTTAATGAATTTTTTCTATTGGTCAGATCGATGGAATCAAAACAACGTAAATTGCCATATTGGTCAAGAATAATTTTTTTTTATTGGTCAGATTGAAATATAACAATGGAGCGACAATATATAGGATTATAATTTGGCTTTAATTAACTGAATTTTTGCCATCTTTTCTAATAAAGAATATACAAGTTTGTATGTTGACTTTTGAATTCCCGGAGAATTACTTTCTCGCGGGCCAGCTACATTTAAATGTTTTATCTTATTCTTTTTAATCCAAACGAGTATTTGTTCAATATTATCCATGGGAAATTGGTCAAGACAGATTTTTTGCCAAGGTTTTTCATATTTTTTAGCCATCTCAACTGTAAAGGCTGTTCCATCTAACTCGGTAACAAAATTTGGTGTCGGGAGAATTATTAAAGTGGCCTCTGCATCCCGAACGTTCCACTCTGTTCTTTGTTCGTACCTCGGAGTAGGAGTTTCTTGGAGTGGGTATTTTGAGTCGATTTTACCATCTTCAGCTTTTCTTCCTTGTGGACACCAACCAGTGAGTATCCAAATATCACTATTCTGAAATTCTACAATGAGAAGAGACTCTTCCCAGATTATATTTTTTACATTTTTAATGTTATTTTTTACATGAGTCAAAAAAGCATCCAAGAAGCCTCGATCAACTCCGGTTTGACCTCCTGTGCGAAAGATAATTTTTTTATTATGATAGCATAGCATTACTAATCAATTCATAATTAAAAAGTTTTTATGTAATTAAGTTTAGAAGTATTACTAGTATTTTTAATAACTAAATTTCTAAAACTTTTTATATTGAAAGTGTAATATTAAAACCATTAACTAAATCATACAGTATTTAGATAAAAATTCTAAAGTAGATTCTGTGGATAAACTAAATTTGTCCCCGCCTGAACGATAAGATAAAAATATTTTCATACTAACCAATTTATCTATGAATTAATATCAAAAAAATTTAATTCAAATATAATATAAATTTAAAAAGGATTTTTTTAAACGATATAAAAATGAGTTAAAAAATATAATAACGGAATTTCATGAGCATTTCTAGTATTGTATTCACAAACACTAGCACGGTAGGCCATAATATTCTCTTTCAGCGTTTTGAACATATCTGTTTTTTTATTCAACATAAATGTAATAAAATTACACGTATAAAAATATTTCTTTGTGGAAAATACATTCGATACTCAATTTTTTTTAGGCAATACCGATACGTAAGTTCTAAAGTAAATGTTTAAAATAAACCTTCCTCCTCAGTCTTTCATCAATTGTATTGTCAAATACTACGTATATTAAAAAATTTTAGGGTATTCTATGCCGCATATTTTGATGCATATTGGCCATGTGGTGATACTGTTATAATACACCAATTTCAATGTAATTAGCGAGTGATCGTAATAGTGTTCAGGCATAATTATATTTATTACTATCAATTAAAATAAACATTGCAGTCGATACTTGAGCAATTACTTATTGATTATTTGTTGTTATAATTCAACAATCAAATATCAAATTGATAATATTACGGACTTATTGTCATTTTAAACAATTGGCAATAATTCAAAATTTTATCTGTAAACAGGTTCGTTTCGTTCAACAATATTTTTTTTTAATTTATAGCCATTAATTGTTATTAACTTTTCTATTCAAAATAGGTTCAAAATAGGCCAACCAAATTAGCATTAATTTTGATTCAATTAGTTAACAGACGACATCTCTAGTTTACATATAATACATTAAAATATAAAAGTAAAAAACCTCTGTCGGCAAAATATGAAAAATAAAAAAAAAATGACCACACAAATAAAAAAAAAGACCACCTCTGTCGACGAAGTTAAGAAAATTAATATAATCAATAAAATCACAAACAACATGAAACATTTTCAAGAATTTCACAAGCAAAATCTAGACGATTGGATTATGAATAATAATAAATTACAAGTTTCATTTTGGTTCTCGTTAATTAGAGCAAGTTTCTAACTTCTCCATTATTCTCGTTTTTTCTTTTCTTTTTTTTTTGAGTTATTCGATTTGGATAAGTAGCCATCGAGAAATCTTCAAGGTTTGCCTGATCGTCTTCGCTAAAGTTTTAAAAACGTTTGATAGTTTAATATGATTTTGCTAGCGCTAGATGTTAATGAATTTTTTCTATTGGTCAGATCGATGGAATCAAAACAACGTAAATTGCCATATTGGTCAAGAATAATTTTTTTTTATTGGTCAGATTGAAATATAACAATGGAGCGACAATATATAGGATTATAATTTGGCTTTAATTAACTGAATTTTTGCCATCTTTTCTAATAAAGAATATACAAGTTTGTATGTTGACTTTTGAATTCCCGGAGAATTACTTTCTCGCGGGCCAGCTACATTTAAATGTTTTATCTTATTCTTTTTAATCCAAACGAGTATTTGTTCAATATTATCCATGGGAAATTGGTCAAGACAGATTTTTTGCCAAGGTTTTTCATATTTTTTAGCCATCTCAACTGTAAAGGCTGTTCCATCTAACTCGGTAACAAAATTTGGTGTCGGGAGAATTATTAAAGTGGCCTCTGCATCCCGAACGTTCCACTCTGTTCTTTGTTCGTACCTCGGAGTAGGAGTTTCTTGGAGTGGGTATTTTGAGTCGATTTTACCATCTTCAGCTTTTCTTCCTTGTGGACACCAACCAGTGAGTATCCAAATATCACTATTCTGAAATTCTACAATGAGAAGAGACTCTTCCCAGATTATATTTTTTACATTTTTAATGTTATTTTTTACATGAGTCAAAAAAGCATCCAAGAAGCCTCGATCAACTCCGGTTTGACCTCCTGTGCGAAAGATAATTTTTTTATTATGATAGCATAGCATTACTAATCAATTCATAATTAAAAAGTTTTTATGTAATTAAGTTTAGAAGTATTACTAGTATTTTTAATAACTAAATTTCTAAAACTTTTTATATTGAAAGTGTAATATTAAAACCATTAACTAAATCATACAGTATTTAGATAAAAATTCTAAAGTAGATTCTGTGGATAAACTAAATTTGTCCCCGCCTGAACGATAAGATAAAAATATTTTCATACTAACCAATTTATCTATGAATTAATATCAAAAAAATTTAATTCAAATATAATATAAATTTAAAAAGGATTTTTTTAAACGATATAAAAATGAGTTAAAAAATATAATAACGGAATTTCATGAGCATTTCTAGTATTGTATTCACAAACACTAGCACGGTAGGCCATAATATTCTCTTTCAGCGTTTTGAACATATCTGTTTTTTTATTCAACATAAATGTAATAAAATTACACGTATAAAAATATTTCTTTGTGGAAAATACATTCGATACTCAATTTTTTTTAGGCAATACCGATACGTAAGTTCTAAAGTAAATGTTTAAAATAAACCTTCCTCCTCAGTCTTTCATCAATTGTATTGTCAAATACTACGTATATTAAAAAATTTTAGGGTATTCTATGCCGCATATTTTGATGCATATTGGCCATGTGGTGATACTGTTATAATACACCAATTTCAATGTAATTAGCGAGTGATCGTAATAGTGTTCAGGCATAATTATATTTATTACTATCAATTAAAATAAACATTGCAGTCGATACTTGAGCAATTACTTATTGATTATTTGTTGTTATAATTCAACAATCAAATATCAAATTGATAATATTACGGACTTATTGTCATTTTAAACAATTGGCAATAATTCAAAATTTTATCTGTAAACAGGTTCGTTTCGTTCAACAATATTTTTTTTTAATTTATAGCCATTAATTGTTATTAACTTTTCTATTCAAAATAGGTTCAAAATAGGCCAACCAAATTAGCATTAATTTTGATTCAATTAGTTAACAGACGACATCTCTAGTTTACATATAATACATTAAAATATAAAAGTAAAAAACCTCTGTCGGCAAAATATGAAAAATAAAAAAAAAATGACCACACAAATAAAAAAAAAGACCACCTCTGTCGACGAAGTTAAGAAAATTAATATAATCAATAAAATCACAAACAACATGAAACATTTTCAAGAATTTCACAAGCAAAATCTAGACGATTGGAATCAAACCCCAAAGCAATACATTATCAAAAACTATTATGCCTAATCGATAAAGACGATTATCAAGGGGCATGCAACCGCTGGTTTAGAATTCTCAGAAGCACACAAAAGACTGAAGCATTATTAATGAACAATAACTATTATAACTTCTAAATTCATTACATGTCTTAAAAATTTTATTATATGGTATCTGCGCATTATTTCGAAACCCTATGCGTTATTTTGAAACGCGCATGCGCGCGATAATTCGAATTATTTTGTACTAATTTTGAGGAAAAGTCAACCTTACTAAAAATTTTCCTGCGACCTAACATATATGTGGGGCGCCCATGGGCATTAATTTGAGTCAAATATGCAATTTTAAGAAAAATGGAAATTTCAAAATAACACATGTGTGTTATTACGCGAAAATACGGTATAAAATTAGTTATTTAGTATCTATAACTATTTATATCTTATAATAAATCATTTTCAAGTGACTTATTATCTGTTATTTATCTACGTCTTGCATATTTTGTTTTGATTTATTGACAAATAAAAATTCATATGGAAATTATGTTCTTTATTATAAATTTTTATTAACACTTCATGATGATAATTTTTTTCAACATAATTTTTATTGATCCTAGCACCCACACCCGGAAGTCAGTAGAAATAGGGCAAATTTTTTTTAGGTAAAACAATTTACTTAGAAAAAATTTGCCCCATTTCTACTGGCTTTACCATTTATTGATTAATCCTAGCTCGATTCCCCGAAAGTTATTCTCCACCAATCCGACACCATATTTCCGATGTTGTAAGTAGGAACGGGATTTAAGTGGATTTGGAATTTCTTAGTTAAATTAGTATTTGAGGTGGAGTATATTTTATATAAACCCTATACCTTAACCCTAAATCCCAAATCCACTTAAACCCCATTCCCACTTACAACACCGACATACTATTTCAGCTACACACATTTTTTGAAAAGACATTTATCCGATATTACATGTTTTCGACAACCTTTTTCTTAGACAAGACAATTATTTCCCCGACATAAAATTAGCCCGATTTAACATTAGGGTTTGCCCGATATAAAGTTAGTGTTGTTTAGAATTATGTCGGGAAAATAATTGTCAGGGAAATGTCTTGTCTAAGAAGGTTGTCGAAAACATGTAATGCCTGATAAATGTCTTTTCAAAAAAATGTGCTGTAGGTGAAATAATATGATGTTTACGAAATGGGTTGGTGGGGAAATGGCTTTCGGGCAAATCGCGGATTCTCCAAAATCCCGCGCGGGATTCATTAAATTTTGGTGTCGCGGTTGATCCTCGATTTTGAATGGCCGACGGCTGTGATCAACAAAATTCTGGCCCGTATTATACATAATTTTGGCCGGAATTTAATTTTTTAAATTAGCCCAGAAACATATTTCACTTAATGGGTGGCCACGATTTCATTAGTAAAAATTCGAGTAATTTTGACTAAATTTTTGATTATTGCCGTTGGCCAATCATAAATATAAAAGAATTATATAATCTCATACACGTAAAGAATAGATAGATATGTAAAGTAGGGTAAAAGCGGTATTTATAATTAATCAACTCAGACCTTATTAATACAATATACAATCTATAAACCGAAACTTATTACGATTGATAATCCAATTTTTGTAAAATGATTCCTAAAATTTATTTTTAAAAAGAGTGACTTAATGATATTTATATTTATTTATTATAACAAAGAAAAATGTTTGGTAAGCAAAAGATACAACGGCAAAAAGGTAAATTTTTATTAAAATATATATATACATATGCGAAACGGTATGCGAATAAATAGATAAATTCTACATAGAAATTCACGTTTCTATATAAAAATTTATTAA